GAGGAAGCCTTCTTAGTCTGTGTGTTCTGACCTATTTTGGAGATTGGAGGCTGCATCAAACCTGTAAGCACTTGATTTAATTTCTTGACACTTGATTTGGTTTCTTGGCACTTTACGAAAGATTGCTAAATGTCAAAACTAACCCAATTGAAATGATTATCAATGTGAAAATGACCATCTCTAGTGATTCCACCATGTAGATCACCTGGAACTGGATTGTACATAACAGTAGTTCCATTTTAGTGGAAAGCATGTTTTGCTCTTATTTCGGTGACTAGTTTTAAACCACCAGCACCATTAAACTCCCACACAAACCTCTCATATCCAGTTGTGAAGGTCTGGGACTTTGGGAACAGATAGGGTTGTGCTATCAAAATCATCCTATGGGAGGTTTCTCTCATGTCCCCGCATTAGAAGCTGGAGCTAACAGATGGGAACTCACCCTGCTCCCTGGATTCGAACCACCAACCTTTTGGTCAGCAGTCCTGCCAGCACATTGTGCCACTTACTACAGAACAAAATATCAGGGATATAAAGCAATAGAGGTTACTGAGAAGAATTAGGACTTTTCTCCTCTATTATTTTATGATTATTAATTTTTCATCAGGATAGTGGAGGATTTATTTGATGGACTTTTATTTGATGGTTATTTTTATATTTGTATGTAATTGCTGCTGTAAACTGCCTTGGGTCTTCAGAGAAAGGCAGTATAGAAATGTCCCAAATAAATAAATAAAATAAAATAAATCATCAACATTGAATCTCGTAAGAATTAAAAGGTAATGCAAGAGTCATCTTTCCAACCCATGAACATCCGAGAATAAAAAGCGATAGCACTAGTGAGCAATACATTTAACTCCTGTTTGAAGACCTTCAAAAAAAGAGAGACCATCACTCTCTGAGGGAGTCAAAAAGTTATTCCTAATGTTCCAGTGGAATCTGTTTTCTCATAATCTGAGTCTAGTCCATGGAGCATAGTCTCTGGAGCATAGAAAACAAGCTTGTCTCATCCTATCTTCCACATGACATCCCTACAGTGGGATAAATCACTGCACTGCTGAAATTGCTAACCAAATGGCTGCAGGTTCAAATCCAGGGAATGGCATGAGCTCCCGCTGTTAGCCCCAGCTTCTGCCAACCTAGCAGTTCGAAAACATGCAAATGTGAATAGATCAATAGGTACCGTTCCAGCAGAAAGGTAACTGTGCGCCATGCAGTCATGCCAGCCACAGTTCTTCGGCTTATAAATGGAGATGTGCACTACCCCCCAGATTTCCCCTGGACTAGACTTAATGTCAAGGGGAAATCTTTATCTTTACCTATCATATAATTTTGCAACTTTTTCTTCCTGATAATGATTATAATTCAGTTATATTCATATTTCCTACGAGACAGCAATTGAAGGCATATTATAAAAAAAATAAAACGAATGCTGATGAAAACACATACAAACACGTAAATTAAAACTTATAAAGGGTTACAGCAAAAAACCAAGACCAAAAAGAAAATCTCAATTGAATTAAATCATTTAAGCAAAATCCAACAAAAAGGCAAAATATAAAAATCAATAAGACAACACACTATTAAAAACTCTTACAGTCAGTTCATAAAGGTCTGGTGAAAAGAAACATTTTCCCAAAGCAGTGGAAGAGTAGTAAAGATGGAACTATCCTATCCTTCTTCAGGAGTGGGTTTCAAAAGTTTGGGAACATCCACAAAGAAGGATCTGTCCTATGTTCCCAAGAGATGTTCCCAACAGGGGATGACAAGATGTCATATCCAGAGATCTCAGAAGTCTGGTAGGCTCATATAGGAAGATATAATCCTTCAGATAACCAAGGCATGGGCAAACTTCAGCTCTCCAGATGTTTTGGACTCCAACTCCCACAATTCCCAACAGCTGGTAAGCTGTTAGGAATTGTGGGAGTTAAAGTCCAAAACACCTGGAGGGCCGAAGTTTGCCCGTGCCTAAGATAGCCTATCTGCTGCACTAGGATGTCAAAATATTTCCTGCGTAGAGTTTAAAAAGAAACCATGACTCTGACATTGTTTGGACTGTACAACTGTACCCTTTGCAAGCGGTAACACAAGCTGCCCCTCCAGCCTCATCATAACAAAGGGCATTGTCATAATTTGCTTCTTTTCCTCACATGGATAGAATACAAAGACTACAAATCAGGACCCCTAAAATCGCATAACATGTTCTTATTGTTTTTAACCAAGCTTGGAAAAGTTACAGTTTTGGACTTCTAAATAGCATAGCTACTGTTTATGTTACTAGGAGATGCTTAGAGCTGGAAACTGAGAAAGTAACTTTCAGTAGAGAAAAAGACTTCTCTCAAAGAAAAGAGTGCTTTCTACAGAGATGTTTGACTACGTATGTCATTTGCATTAAAATCATATGGCTGAAATTTTAATCACGAGAAAATGTTCTATATGCATCAGCAGCCAGTAAGGGAAAAAAATCAAAGCAGAAGAAAATAACTTTAAGAAGGCACTGGAAACTTTAGAAAATATTTGGAAGGACACCGTGCTAAAATGCACAGAATGCAGTCCTCACAAACCGGTGTTGCCATCAATTACCATTCTAGGGCAAGCATCTAAGTTTTGGCAGCTTGAGAAATATGTTGAAATATGACCCTGGAGATCTTAGGAGGAGGGAACAGAGGGCACTGGGTGTTCCCCCCTCCCCAGACATTTCCTCATTGCTTATTTAACCCAAGCGTGTCCCCTTTCTAAAAGTAGCCCTCTGTAACTTCTAAGTCTGGCTATCCTCAAGCTCCATCATGTAGAACAGCCTCCCTCTTGATTAAGACGAATCAAAAAGGCACAAATGACCTCAAGAACGGCATTCCTGTGCAGCTAGGCTACTCTTTTCAGACAAGAAAAAACCTACATAGAACCTCACTGTGTAGTTAAGTAGAAGAAGGAAGACTCATTCCAATGGGGCTCACACAGCAAGGGACAAGGGTTGTAAATCAATTCAGACCAGCTTTACAGATCCAGAGATCCACTCCCACAAACTTTAGAAAAAGGAGCAGATCAGTTTCAACAATACTTTATTAGATGGACTAGTGGTCAAACCAGGTGTAAGACAACTTACATGGTGGAATACACAGGAATTCAAATGCAGAGTTAAATACTTGAGCCTAGACAGACAAATCAGCCAGTGATAGCTTCTTCCATATTTAGTTTCTTTAGAATATAAAGTTGTTTTCATCCCTATTTAAAAAATGTTTTGCACATTTTCACTAATATTTATACTGCTGAGTATGCATGCCCAGTGTGGAACACATCTCAACATGCTAAAACAGTGGATGTAGCTCTTAATGAGACATGCCGCATTATCACAGGATGTCTATGCCCTACACCACTGGAGAAATTATACTGTTTATTGCACCACCTGACATCCACTGGGAAGTGGCACCCAATAATGAAATGACCAAGGCAGTGACATCTCCGGCCCATCCTCTGTTCAGATATCAACCAGCATGCCAATGATTTAAATCAAGAAATAGCATTCTAAGATCTACAGAGATACTCACAGGAACACTTCAGCAAGCGAGAGTCCAAAAGTGGCATGCTAAAACTCAGAACCTCAATCCATGGTTGATACCGAATGAAAGATTCCCCCATGGGCACACAGAAGACTAGGCAACTTGGAGGATGCTGAATAGACTGTGCTCTGGCACCACAAGATGTAGAGCCAACCTTAAGAAATGGGACCACAGAGTGGGGACCACAACATGTGAATGTGGAGAAGATCAAATCACAGACCTCCTTATAGCAACAGCAGAGGCACTCCAAGTGGCCAGCTACTGGTCAAAGGACATTTAATATAATGCCAAGTTTTAAAACTTTGTGTTTTTAAAATACATTACAGCTGTACCCTTGGTTTGCTTCTGATACGATAAATAAATATCAAAATACAGTCTTATGAGTTTTGTCCATTACTAGCACCGACATGGTTAAGATTTACTTGAGCCCTGGTCTGACTGTTTCACATTGGCTGCACTGTAAGTACCTCTACATATATGTGCATAGATTCAGGTTGAACATCCCTTATCTGTAATTCCAAATCCAAAATACTTTGAAATCCAAAATTGTCCATGTGGGTGGTTGAAAAAGTGATATCTTTGATTTCTGATGTTTCATTCACACAATTATTTAAGATATTGTATAAAAGTACATTCACTATATGTATAAAAGTCAAAGGTATATATGAAACAAAAAATTAAGTTCATGTCTAGACTTGGGTCGCAACTCCAAGATATCTCATTTTGTACTTATATGCAAATATAGGTATTCCAAAATCCAAAAACTCTGAAATTCAAAATTGTCCACATGGGGGGGTTGAGATAGTGATATCTTTGTTTTCTGATGTTTCAATGTATACAAACATTGTTTCATGCACAAAATTATTTAAGATATTGTATAAAAGTACATTCACTCTATGCATAAAAACCAAAGATGTATATGAAACAAAAAACTAAGTTAATGTCTAGACTTGGGTCCCAACCCCAAGATATCTCATTTTGTATGTACAGTGTTCCCTCGCCACTTCGCAGTTTGTTAACCCCGGACTCACACTTTAGCGGCTTTTTAAAAAAAACAATTTAAAATGCAAGTAGTGAAGGAACACTGTGTATAACAGACTTGAGAGCCCCATACCACTGGGGAAGCAGGGAGGGAGGGAGAAGGGTGGCTCCAGCAAGGGCAGGGGGGAGGGAGAGAGGAAGGGAGGGGGGAGGGAAGAGGAAGAGAGAGAGGAGGGGGAGAGAGGTGGGTGGAACTATACTGTACATATACAGAACCCCTGCGATATGGGAGGGAACACTGTATATGCAAATATAGGTGTTCCAATATACAAAATCTCTGAAATCCCAAACATTTCAAAAAAGTAATACTCAATCTGGATATGAAGCATGCCTTGTAGCATTCAATGGTTATCAATTAATATTAAAATAAGAAACAAACCTCCTACTCCCAGCTGTACTTACCTCAATAATATAGAGAACCACATTCTTATAAAAGCAATAAAGTATGCATTTCGTCACTCGATTGTAACTCCAAGCTCCATGGACAAGTAATAGCTTCTCCAGATAGGAAAACTAAAGAAAGAGAGAAAATCACAAATGACTGCATTAGCAGCTATCACTTTTCTTTTAAAGAGAAAGGCATTGAAATTAGTGATCAAATCAGTTGTTATTATGTTATATGTGCTTCCAATGCCATAAATTCAAAGTGGGCTCTCATTATGAACATTCATACATGCCAAGCCCACTTCCAATACAAAGGCAAGGGCACACTAAAGGCTCTCAAGGACCAGTACTTTGATGACTGTATATCGTTTTTGTTGTTCATTGTTTTCAGTTGGCTTTGTGTCATGGTGACCCAATGAAAGAAGCTTCCAAGACATTAGAGATATGAAAATCTCATGGGCTTATATCTCTGTTCATCAGATATGCAATGTAAACGTACATCAGCAATGAAATACTGGAGCTACACAAATGTGGTAGGTACTTGCAGGGTAATATCTTAAACAGTACCTCCACAATGGCTAACCTTATATTAACACTGCTTGTGCCACCCTGATTAGGATGCTGTTCTTATGTAATGTGCAAAAATCACAACCAGTGGTATAATGCTATTTAAACCAGTCAATGTTTTGGTTTCATCATATTCTCTGAATCTCACCTGCATTTTGTTTCCTGGCTTGTATTGCACTAGATTGACAAACTTTTCATTTTATTCTCAAAATGAAATCAACATGCCTCCATGTATCACTTACAGAGAAACACAAATAGTAAAGCATTATTGTGTTCATGTCATGCTGGTGGCATTTTGGTGGCTGCTCCCACACCTTGGAACCCCCTCTATAGAGAAGTTGGGGTGGTTCCTTTCTTTACTGTCTTTTTTGCAGAAGTTATGACTTTTCTATCCCTGCAAGGTCTGGCAATGGAAGTGATTTTTATGGTAATGTTTTCAACTCTTCTTTCAAACTAAGCTTTAAATAATGTTGATTCTTGCTGTTTTTTTATAAGATGCCTTTGAGTGCCAATCTGGGAGAACGGTGAGATGTAAACAAAGTGATGGATAGATGAATGGATGGATAGGCCTCCAGTTATATATTTAGTTTTACAATCTACCTAAATTATATTAAGTATTGGATAAATCATATTCATGCATTTTTCCAATTATGTGCATTTTAGCTATTCAACAAATTTTGCACTTTGAAAAAAATCTCGTGGACAACAAGTCAAACATGAGCCAACAATGTCATGCAGTAGCTTAAACAGCTAATGGGATTTTGGCCTGCATAAATAGGAGTCTAGGGTCTAGATCCACCTTGCTAAGACCACATCTGGAATACTGTTTCCAATTCTGAGCACCACAGTTTAAGGGAGATGTTGACAAGCTAGAATGTGTACAGAGGAGGGCAACTAAAATGATCAAGGGTCTGGAGAACAAGTCCTATGAGGAGTGGCTTAAAGAGCTGGACATGTTTAGCCTTTAAAAGAGAAGGATGAGAGGAGATATGATGAGGGCCATGTATAAATATGTGAGGGGAAGTCATAGGGAGGAGGGGGCAGGCTTGTTTTCTGCTGCTTTTGGAGACTAGGATGCAGAACAATGGCTTCAAACTATAGGAAAGGAGTTTCCACCTGAACATTGGGAAGAACTTCCTAACTGTGAGAACAGTTCAGTAGTGGAACTCTCTGCCCCAGGGTGTGGTGGAGGCTCCTTCTTTGGAGGCTTTTAAACAGGCTCACGGGAGTTGTAAAATGCTACATTGTGAAGATATTTGAGTCCAGTTAAATTTACATTCTGCCCTACTATATATAATCTTTCTTATCAGAATAAAGCTGCAGGCCTCCACATCACCACTTGGTGTGGAATATAAGCGATAAGGTGCCATTGTGGTTGTGTCAAGCTAATGGTTCTCTGAGAGGCATCCAATTCACTTCAGTGTGAATAGAATGCTGGAGCAGATTTAGCGGAGCTGATTCAGCAGAAATAGTTTTATGTTCTTATGAATCAGTTATTCCAAAGTTCTGGGACTCTGTGTAATTGCACATTGAGCTTAAAACAATTTCCAACTTTCCTGGGTATATCACTGCCATACCTTTGGCATATGGTGATACTTTGTCAGGGCACTATGTGAATCCCTGTTCAGAAATCGTTGCCTCAAAGTCACTAAATGATGCAAAAGGTGCTGAGTTTGTTTTTAAAAAGTGTAAGTTTAGAATTCAGGTCAGATAATACCCCTTTGAAAAGTTACCAAATGGGCTGCTTTGAATGCAAGAAAAAAGAGAACCAAGAAATCTGGTTTTCAAATGCAAATCCCAGAAGCCATGGTGCAAATTCTGGTAATTATAATCCAACAAGTAGCATTTTCAAGATCTGAAAATTCTTCTTAGTTGAAATCAGCTGTTTAAAAAAGCCAATATGATGTATGCTCACTCTGGATTAAATACAAGTGGCTTCAGCACAGTTTAATTCCCACATAAGTATGCATTGAATTGCAATGCAAACGATGCAATATTTCGGGATCTGGCACCTTTATGATATTTAGGCATAACCTCATTATTGTATATGCAGTTGGACTTGCTTGCACAATACTCCGTCTACAATACCATTTGGGTTTCTTAAAGCACATGGAATATCTGTGCCATAAAGCTTGAAATTTACTATTTCATTAAAGTTTTCAGCACCATTTTGAGGATTGCCTATGTTTGTATGCATGTTTATTATAAAAACTGATCTTTTTTCATTTATTTACCATGCCCTTCCTTCATGGGTCTCTTATAAGTTATATAAAAAGTCACCATCCCATATTTTAATCTTGACAGTATCCTTTAATATGGGTTAGAATGAATGATAATGACTTTCTCAGGGCCATTCAATTTCAAGGTTGAGTAGGGATCTGAACTCAGTCTCCATCCCTCTGTACAGACCTAACACTCCATCTACAGTATCATTTGGCTTTCAGGATGTTTTTTTTCCGATTTAGAAGCAAAAAGTTGGAACACTAAATGCTCTGAAAATTCACGTAATCTTGCAATGGACCATTCAATGTGCAGAACAGTTTAACATCAGCTCTGGAGAACACTTGAGCCCAAAGTTTGGCTGATCTTGAAAGAAATCAACATCGAAAAGACAGGAGGCAACAACCGAAACAAGACTGATGCATGCAACAGAGCAAGATGGTTTTGTTTGTCCTGATCATAGTCTGACGAAGTGCATTTTCCAGACTACAGATTCTGGAAGCTGCAGTCCAATAAGTAAGTTTTCCAAGCTCTATTCCAGATACACTCACTGACAAGCTATTCTGCATGTACCTTCCAGTAAGAAATACAATCCTGCCACTGCAGCAATTGGTCTTCTTTCTCTCCTCCCACTCAACTTTGCAATAAGGGCTTGTGGGAGTGTATGAAAGGATAATATGCAATCAGGCCTGTGGTGGTTGTCACCTTGCAAAATCAATCACAAAGTAGTCAGGACCACAAGGTGGCGGCTGGCCAGGGCTCGCCTCAGGCATCCTGAAGACTGCCAACGCTCATTAGCTCAGCAAAATGCATGATGTGAAAAGCAGAAAAAGAAAATAATCTAGTCATCTTTAAGAAATCTGAGACCAATCTTCAATGAATAATCATTTTTTATTAGCAGCTGCATAATAAAAATGATCCTTGAGCGCAATAGATTCCTCCTTTGGATAATAATAAAATCTGCATCCAATTTCTGAACTGTTCCAGGACTTTCTATATTTGGGTTTAGACAGTTAGAGAGAGCATCATGATCTCAAAACAGGAGATGCTTTCAAAAGGTGTTCCTCTCTTCCTTCCTGTGCTTTAAAAAAATGTGAATAACTTAATCTGAGACACGAAAAAAATATCCCTTGTATCTGTTTATATTAAATTATAGTCTCCCTGAAACTTCTCAGCACCCTTTGGACTATTTGATGTGTGGTATCATTGGGTATGTGTGATGTCACTGGTTTTTTGGTATCATTTGTGATAGTATTAGGGCCCACACTACGTGAACACGAAGAAGAGTGCATTGCATGGCGTGGACTCTCCTTTCATTGGAGACCCAAATGGCACCAACTTTGGTTTCATTCCAACACCAAATTTAAAAGTAGCTTTTTTATTGCAACCACTTGGGGCCAATGATTTCATTCAAACCTGTATACATGCATAGTTTAAAACATATATAACATTTAAAATTATTAAATTTAGCATTTAATACAAGGCAGAAGTGTTTTAACCACTGGACTAGAACAATCCCTTAGAATTTTATTTTTGTGTGTGTGTCAGGAGTGACTTGAGACTGGTGTGACAGAATAGGCCATCTGCAAGGACATTTTATCATCCTGTGGAAGGCTTCTCTCATGTCCCTGCATGAGAAGCTGGAGCTGACAGAAAGGAGCTAACCCCGCTCCCTGGATTCAAACCACTGACCTTTCAGTCAGCAGTGCTGCCAGCACAAGGGTTTAACCCATTGCACCACTGTGGGCTCCTTCAAATTTTATAAAGGAATAGAATGAGAGGGAACCCCAACGACAAAATTATTTTTATTTGCTATTTCATAACTGTAATTCTGCTACTGTTACGAATTGTAATGTAAATATCTGATATGCAAGATGTATTTTCATTCACAGGACCAAATTTGGCACAGATACCTGTTACACTCAAATTTGAATACTGCTGGGGATGGGGGGGGGGTTTGATTTGTAATTTGGGAGTTGTAGTTGCTGGGGTTTATAATTAACCTACAATCAAAGAGAATTTTGAACTCCACCAACGATAGAATTGAACCAAACTTGGCACAAACAATTCCCATGACCAACAGAAAATACTGGAAGGGTTTGGTGGGCATTGACCTTGAGTTTTGGAGTTGTAGTTCACCTACATCCAGAGAGCACTGTGGACTCAAGCAATGATGGATGTGGACCAAACTTTGCACGAATACTCAATATGCCCAAATTTAAACACCAGTGGAAAGTGGCTGAACTGGAACTTCAGCAATGCTCATCATTGCTACTTAGCATATGCTTAAAGGATAAGATTGCCTGTCTCTCTCCAGGAGGTAAGGTTGCTTCTTCCATCACTGACATAAAGCCCAGGCATTAAGCTAAAACATTTTAATATTAAATAGTTTAAATTGCTAAGCCTTCGAAATGACTGGTATGATGGTTATGTCTGAATGTGTGGATATTACAGGGATCTTCACTCTTCTAATTTTTTTCCAAGGATAGTGATGTTTTGTTTACTTAGAACGATTATACTCAAGTCTTGACTTTTTTATTATTCCTAGTTATTGGTTGTTGTTGATGTGTGTCATCAAGTTCTTTTTTCACTTATGGTGATCTCAAGGGGGCTCTACCATGAGGTTTTCTGGGGCTAAGACTGTTTGCCTGGATTACATGGCAGTGGTGATCCAGCCATTGACTTACCAAAGGTCACCACTGGGTTTCCATGGCTGAGTAGAGAATTGAACCCTACTCTCCAGAGTCATAGTCCAATGCTTAAACCACTAGTTTACATTTATTTTAGGAATTTAAATTTATATCTGTTTTTCCTTGGGCTCCCTAGTGGCACAGTGGGTTAAACCACTGAGCTGCTGAACTTGCTGACTGAAAGGTCAGCGGTTTGAATCTGGGGAGTGGGGTGAGCTCCTGCTGTTAGCCCCAACTTCTGACAACATAGAAATTAAAAAAAACATGCAAATTTGAGTAGATCAATAGGTACCGCTTCGGTGGAAAGGTAACCATGCTCCATGCAGTCATGCTGGCCACATGACACTGGAGATGTTTACAGACAATGCTGGCTCTTTAGTTTATAAATGGAGATAGGCACCACCCTCCAGAGTTGGACATGACTAGACTTAATATCAATTGAAACCTTTACCTTATCTGTCTTTCCTAATTGTTACTACCTCTCTGCTGGCTCCTAATTACTCAGAGAGCATGCCAACTTTGACATTAGATACTCTGGGATTGGCATGATGGAGTAACTTTACTAACCTCTGTTGATTCTGTCCTCTTCCCAATGGCAAGTCCCTTCACCTATCCCAGATCCACCTTCCCCTATTCCAATGGGCCACAACTGACACAGAAATAACCAATTATCCTTCACAGCTTTCTCTGGGAATCACTGAAATAAAACATGAGAGTGCCAGTTTACTAGCACTGAAGGACTCTGGAAATATGCTTCACCAACAGGTGTGCAAGTCAACAGCAAGAAAAATTGTTATCAGCTGAACTTTGACAGCTGTAATAAGCAACTCTTTTTCCTAGTTAGTGAGATCTGAAGCACAGTGAGAAACAGAGGGAGAAACTTAAAACTTTTGGAGGAGATGGCTCATGGCTGAATACTATGGAAGGGATCCCAAACACTTATGAGGTATCTGCTTCAAAGCAGCAGGCCCAGAGGAACGAGAAAAGACAATCTGTTGAGTCTCTAGGTCAGCAGTGAGGTGTTAATGCTGCCAATGCAGCCAATTCCTCTTTCAGCAGAGTAAGGCAGCTGCTTTCCTTCTGGGATTCTAACCTGTGCTATCGCGTAATCGGAGGAGTTGGTCGCCTGCATGCCTTCGTTGCCGCTGATCCCTACTCCAACATGAGCCGTCTGGATCATTCCTACGTCATTGGCACCATCGCCGATGGCCAGCGTGATGGCATTCACATGCTTCTTTACCATGTCTACTATTTCAGACTTCTGCAAAGGAGACACCCTAGGAAGGAGAAGAGAAAAACTTCAGACTATTTCCTACACATTAAGCTATGTGCGACTTTCTAGAGGGACAGCTGTAATCTAGATTTAGACATATAAAAAGACAGTTGCTGGAAAGTTTCCTAATCTAGCCCATCGTACTTTAGAGTCCATGCCAAATCTTACACATACACACACACAAACATAAATACACACCTAGTTAAAGAATATTGTGTTATTTCTTCTCTGTAAATAAATACACAGAATAAAAAGACAGAATATGTGGGACAGATCAGTAGCTCTGAAATGCTTTCAAGGATGTGTGTGTATATATAATGCACATTGAAAATGATAAATACTCAAAGTATTTTAAAATTTCTACACTTATTACATGAATGAGGTTATCTAGCTTCCCCAAATATCACCGTAATGATCCACAAGGCAATTTAGGTGTCACTGTTTACTCATTCTCCTTTTCTTCAAGGTTTTCATGAATTCCTTTGAAATTTTACTCTGTTTGGGCTATGGGTTTTGCTCTGGGGTTTCGATTGTTGGTAGTACAACACACATGAGGTCTCAGTATTGAAATGCAAAATTGGAACTCTATTTGGCAGGTAATTTCTGACAACCAATTGTTTAACAATAATTGAAATGACTCCCCTCCCCCATCCCCAAATTATACTGGTGTAAAAAAGAAAACAGGATGATTAGTCAGTGGAATTTATTCTGTTTTGGAGGGCAAATAAAATTCCTGAACCCAGAATTTAGGGATTGAGGGCCAGCATGTTGTAGTGGTTTGAGTGTTGGATTACAACAATGGAGACCAAGGTTTGAATTCCCACTCAGTCATGGAAACCCCACTGGGTAACCCAGGGCAAAACACATATTCTCAGCCCTTGAAATCCCTGTGAGAGGTTCACCATAGAACTGCTATAGGTCAGAAACAACTTGGTGGCATACAACCATTTCCAGACTTAGTCATGCAATTAAGATTAATGGGAGAAATTAGACCTGATTTAGTTTCTCTTTCTTTAAATGTATCATGTCTAAGTACTAACCAATTTAAATATAATCTTATGTCAAATGCACTGGAATCTTAGATTGGAAAGATGGATTTCAGAAGTACAAGCCATTCTTTGTGTGTAGAAAAGCCCATGTTCTTGTTCTAATTATAGGGACTTCTTGTAACAAGGATGGGAATGTCCCCTGCTTGAGGTCTCGAGAGCAGTGGCAGTCTGTGGCACTCTTGTCAGCTGGGTAATGAAGAGGTTTTAATTTGAAATAGCTTTTGTGTCAGAAGCAACTTATTGCAAGTTGCTTCTCATGCGAGAGAATCAGTCGTCTACCAAGACATTGCCCAGGAGGCGCCTGAATGTGTTACCATCCTGTGGGAGGCTTCTCTCATGTCCCCACATGGGAAGCTGGGGCTGACAAACAGGAGCTCACCCTGTCTCAGGGATTCAAACCACCAACCTTCAGGATAGCAGTTCAGCTGGTACAAGCCTTTAACCCATTGCCCCACCACGGCTCCCATGTTTGAAGTAGCTATTCAAGGTAATTAACCTATTGGAAACTAAGGTTCAGCATCTTTGATAGCTCTCTTCAAGTTCAGACGAAAACCCATTCTGTATTTATCACTGTTGTGGGAGCCACCAGCTGCTGTGGTTTGGAAGAACCATTGCAAGTTATCAGAGTAGACAGTACTAGGCTTGATATGGAAAAGGATGACCTAATTGACAGTGTTGTGTCAAATCGTCACTCAGAGTCTCGTAATAAAACTAATTTTCTTGGATATCTCAGTCATCCTAAATAAATGTTATCCATACAGGTCTTCCTTCATGTGCCAAAATACAACTGTTGTCCTTATTGTTAGCCAACTTGACCATCACCTACAAAGTTTTCTTACTTGTATTAAATAGAGTACTCTAAATGTACATAAAGTTAAATGGAGAGGTCCAACATTGGTCTCTTTATGCTCACTTATATCTTTGGAAAAGCTTTTTATTCAGAAAACAAATTTAGTAATCTGGGATCATTGGCTAGGCATTGCAAATATCTATTTAATTTTTTTGCATAGAATTCTCATTGGGCCAGGCTATTAAACCCTCATCTTGCAAAGTCAAAAACAAGCTGGCTGCACCCAATATTACTAATGATTGCATCAAGGATGGCAATTTGAACTTGAAAATGAGGGAACATTGAAGTTTATTAATCTTAAATTCTAACATTTACGGGTGTGATGACAGAAAATACTCCCTAAATGACAGTCTAACTTCACTCCACACTGAAAGTCATAAAGTAAAAAATCCAGACAGAGTTGGAGCCAAAACAGGGGCTCACATATGGGGAGCACATCAGTTACGTGCCTCAGGTGATCTTTAAGTCAGCCAAGGAGTCAGCCAACTACTTTTGCCCACATCAGCAGTGGTAGTTATTTCACAATAAAGTCAATCTTCTCCTTCATTTTTGCTTCCTCTTATTCAGAAAACAGAGACTAATCATTTTCTTATTAGAATGTCTTCCAATTATACTGCTAAGTGTATGAGCAAGGTGGTTGGGAGAGAATGCTAAAGAAGTTCTGTTTATTAAAAAGAAACTTTTTAACAGGGATTCTCACCTTGTTTCTCTCTGAGTTTTGCCATCTGCAGCTCAGAGTTCTAAAAAGATACTGCAAGTAAGGGGAAGGATCAGAATTAACTACAGCCTGGAGGCTGTATTGGAAGCTATGAAAAGCGTGCAGTGTGAAAGCTACAGCAATGTAAAAATGAAAACAAATTGGGTTATTATTTTGGTTGCTTTGGACCAAGGACTCAAATGTGTTTGCATTCAATGAAGGATTAAGGGGGGGACTAGAAAGAGCTGTTATTCTACAGCAATGGTTCCCAACCTGTGTAGTCCATGGATCACCAACAGTCCCCAAGAACTAAAATATGGTCTGCGGCCTCACTGTTGCTACACTGTTGCAACAAGAGTGACTGGTCTCGCAAAGCCCTCTTATAGTGCTGAGGCAACGGGGATGTCGGGAGGGTAGAGGCTGACTACCCACAAAAGGTGCAACAGCTAGCCTCCTGACTGCTGCTTCTCCTCCCTCCCTCCCTCCCCCTGAATGGAGCCATTCTATGTGGTACCTGAAGTGTCTTCATTTTTAGGTCTGTTCCTGAGGTTATTTGGTGTGTTGCTTCAGAAAATTGCATGATAGACCACATCAGCTCTAGATTATTAAATATGATTTTCTGTGGGTGAGCAAATAGTGACTAGTAGATGGCATATGTTCTGTATCAGAAACTAGAGCAGATGTAGTCCAATGCAATTTTCTGAATCAGCACTCCTAATAACCAAACCAAATCTAAAGTTGACCAAAAAATGATTCATAATCCTTTTGGTACTATTTATTTATTTCGGTTACTTCTACCCCGCCCTTCTCACCCCAGGGGGACTCAGGGCGGCTTACAAAGGCACAATTCGATGCCAGCATCAACATAACAGTAGAATAAAAACAATATAGCAGCAATTAAACAATTAACAATCAGTTTCTGCACTGCAACAATAAAACCAATAAAACCAATAAAACCGATTTCACCTAATTAACGCTCAGTTGAGAATCACTTTTCTACAGAGACACCCCACAAGCTAGAGAGGTACATGATCTTTGAGTTGAGGCTAAAGTTTTGGGAAGCTGATACCCTTTGCAGTTTACTTGGGATTGCATAGTTTGCTATGCATGGTGTTTCACATGTGGATAAGAGACCATAGCCCATACTTTGCATGCTGTAGACCCCAGATTCAATATCCAGCACCTCCAATCTTGCCAAGAAAATTCTGTGATAGGGTTGCCATAAGTCAAAAGCAATTTGAAGGAATTCAGCAGCAACAACAAAAACAACAAAGAAGCAAACAAACAAAAAAGAACCCTCAATTATTATTATTATTATTATTATTATTATTATTATTATTATTATTATTATTGCAGTCAAAACAATTAGTTTTGGGACCTTGGAGGAATATTGCTTACAGAGAGTCAACTATATGTATAATAGTTTAAGCAAACTGAGGTTATTGGGCAGTATTTTGAGAATGTGAATGTCATGTATCAAAAGAATATGGTTTTTAAAGCATCTGACTGTATTGTTAAAAAAATCAGTCAACCTGTTTCAGAAAGCAGTATTCCTGCAAGGTCCCATTGATGGCTCTGAGATCAGTGAATTGACTCTGGGCTTTAGCTTAAACCAGTGGTTCTCAACTTGTGGGACCCCAGATGTTTTTTTGTTTGTTTGAAATATTGTCCCTTATATAAAATGGTAAAATCAAAGTTTGCTTTTTTGGATTAAAAAAAAACAAATATATGTTCAGGCTATGTTTTCTTTTTTTTACAATACAACCAGATGCTTTAAAAACTATGTTGTTTTGATACATGACATTCACATTCTCAAAATACTGACCAATAACCTCAGCTTGCATAAACTACTGTACATATAGTTGACTCTCTGGATTCTGTAACCATGGCTTGAACATATATTTGGTTTTTTTAATCCAAAAAGCAAACTTTGATTTTACCATTTTATGTAAGAGACAATATTTCATTATGCCTTTGTATCAAATGGGACATGAACATCCACAGATTTTGGTATCCACAGGGGGTGAGGTGAGGGGATGGAACTAAATCCAAGAAAATACTAATGCTTGTTGTATAAGCAACACTCAACCTCTTGGTTTAGGTGGACATTGATGGCTCTGAGATCAGTGAATTGACTCTGGGCTTTAGCTTAAACCAGTGGTTCTCAACCTGTGGGTCCCCAGATGTTTTGGCCTCCAACTCCCAGAAATCTTAGCCAGTTTACCTGCTGTTAGGATTTCTAGGAGTTGAAAGCTAAAACATTTGGGGACCCACAGGTTGAGAACCACTGGCCTAGAATTTGAAGGAGTCATCCAAGTTGCTGAATCCATTGTAGTGGTGAAGCTCAGCACCTTGGATAGCACCACTGATTTTAGACTACACCCCATTGCAAATTTTCCACCTCACTA